CCCGGGCTATTTTTTTTTTCGAACATATGGTATATTTAAACTAAAAAACCTTATCTTTATTATTTTTATTAAACATAAGGCTGAATTATGTATTTAGTTAATAAGCATTTTACCCCCGTCTCCACGATAATCCTAAACTGTATCTAGAATTTCAAAATAATCTGTATAGTATATAATTTTGGAAATTGTCTCTAACAAGAACGGCGGACAAATGGCAATGAAAGACATAATTTTTCATATTCTAGGTCTAATAAGAGTTATGTAACATCGAGAAAACATGAAACTAGCCGTTCCTCAAACGATTCATTGTAACAATGCTTTATTAATTCAAATAACATATTTTTACTTAATGCAAGCAGTCAGATACAAGTAGAATAAGAAAAGTACTCATGATTTTCTTAAATACTGAACTGATCTGCTAGAATGCAGTGTTGTAGATTTACGGATCTGGTAACGTTGGTCCGATGTGGACGATTTTATGCAGGCAGATATTATATACAGCTAAGCGACACGACGCCCTCTGCAGAAAAGGGGAATGAACTATTTCTGTATAAAATTTGACGTTCAACAGTTTTACCAGACCCACTTTTTTATTTCAATTTTTAATTGTACTGGGTCCAAGAAGGCGATATACATGGTTAAACGTTGTCAGACCCGAACCCGGGTCTGGTAACGTCTCAAAAGGTCTGGTAACGTTTACTGGATGTATCGAGTCGGGACTGTATAGGCGGTATAACAACTATATATATATACATACATGATGAATAAAAAAATTGTTTATTGAGTGAAGGTCCGCTTATACATATAATTTTTTGTTACGTGTAGTTTGTTTCTTATTATTTTTATATTTAATTTTACCACAACAACGGAATCATATATAATAATTTTTTTATATTTATTTCATAACCACCGTTGTTGTTCGTTTGCGACGACTTTTTAAACAAAAAGTGTGTTATGTTTACTATCCTTTCCAAGAATTCCAAACACGAGGGAGAGAATAAGGCGCACAACAGGGATCCTGTATGAAAATTCATCGAACAAAGATTTTACCTTTTATTGTGAAAATTTTATTTTTATACTATTTGTACAATTCTACTGGAAAAGCAGTCTTAAACAAGCAAAACCGGCAAAAATATTGTAACAAAACTGCCAAATTTCAAATATTTTAGACGTCAGTTGGGCGCCCTCATTCGGTCATAATGCGAACGACCACCCACGAAAACGGGTCACGAAAAACGGCGAGCCGTCTCTACTGATTGATATCTGTGCTGTGGTTTTGCTTCGTGAAGTTTTCTTCTGGGGTTTTTTTGAGTATCATGCGGTTTAGGGCAAAGCTGATTTAAGAGAATGAAATCAGTCGAATTAATATAATAAAATGCTATCAAACTTGTTGAGTGGTAATGAATTAAAAAAATATGGATTCTCAGTTAATAAGCAGCATCACCAAATTATGACATCGCGTCGGGTAGACTTGGCAGATAGGCTATAGGTCATGATCTCTTTGCATTTTTGCAGGATGTATAATTCTTGTCATTACGATCGATTCATCTCGACACCAGCCCTTCAAACCGCTATAACTGTAATAATAATCAATCCGATATAAACGTCCAAGTCTAATAACTAATGTTGTTAAATCTCAAAAAATGAGTAACACTCATTTTGTAGAAAAACTAGTTTCTTTCTCTCCGATAGATATGTTCTCAGTACTTATACACATACAGATGATTTATCTAAATTAAATTTGTTACGGTTGAATTTATTTCAGTGATGTATATGAAAATACAAATTTCCATGACATTTGTAGCAGTCGGGGTATAATTAATAAAATATTTGTTTCACAGTCAGTTTATCAATTAGAATTATTGGGTTTATTTATAAATTAAACTAGCTTTGTGGGGAATTATATAGGGTCGCTAGAATGTATGGAAACTGTTAAATGTCTTGAGAACCAATTGAACAAATTAATTGAAAGTAGGTGTAGGGGTAGAAGAAGTTATGATCTAATTATTATTTGCCGAAGAAATTTTTTTCCTTCAGTTGTTTTCGAGATGCAAGGCCAATCTGATTTTATTTAAATGGCCCTACCATATACATATTTAATGCATTTTTGAACCGAGCTTTTTTCTGAATTCATTGATATATTGGAAAATAATACAGTTAAGTACATGAGTGCCACTTTTTCTTTGCGAACAGAAAAGATACTGTATATAACGAAATTTTCGGGAAAGAAAAGTGATTAACTTTTTACTTCCTAAGGTTAAGCGGAGGAAGCATTGCAATCGAATCCGTCGGCCGACTCTCTACTTTTACGTTTTTTCGATCTTTCATAATCCCTAGAGTACGAAGAAATAGCTTTCCTGTTTCCGTCTATCTGGGTGCCTTTCTGTCTGTCCGTCGGTCTGCCTGTTCGTCTGTCAGCTGTCCCAGATTTTCATTAGACAGATAAGTTCGTCTCCGAAAGTAGTGGGCCGATTGTTATCAAATTTTGTATTTGTATTAGGAATACATATCATGTAGATGGTAAAACGCTAACCAAAATTTGTCTAACCATTCCCACCAATAATGTGATGATGTCACTTCAAAAATGTACATAGTAAATGGGTTTTAAATTGTACAAAATAACATAGTCCTAAACATGTCGTTTGTGTCTCCGCATTAAGTTTTTACCCGAAACGTTCAGATTTAAAAAAGAATCAAAATTATAAAACAACATTTTGCAATTTAACTTTGAACCTGCAAAACCGAATACATATTTTTTCAGCATTTAATAAAGTTAGCGGTGTTGGGTTTGTTATTAATATTTTGTAAAATGCCACCATGCCTTCTTTAATCGAGACGGTCGCTATCGCTATCCAGCTGTTACGTAAGAATCGTAACAGCTTTTGCAGTCAATTCATAGAGGGGTTATTAATTTTCAGAAGTGATTGTATGGTGTTCGGTCGAAACCGCATTTATGGATGAAAAACAAATCTCTTTGAGGAGCTACATGCAATTGGTTTGCGTGGATGTGCATCCCGAGCTTATTGCAAGAAAAGTGCAGGTGGTTATACGATTGTGAATAAAAAATATATTCTTTCGCTTTCTGTACCTGAACTTGCAGCTTTGAAGCATCTTGATATAAAAATTAAAAAACATTCTACGTGTACAGTGTATTTAAAAAACGAAATTAACTGAGCTGTAGTGGAGAAAATAAACATCCAGGAAGAGTTTTGGAGTTTTAGAGTAAAAAAAACCGATTCCTATTATCATGTACAAATTACAGACTCTAAAATTTTGTGGTAGTTACAAAATGAGTATGTAGGGATATAATTAAATTAAAAATAAAATATATAATAAATATTTAGAGATTTACAACTCTTGACACCAGTGTGAAGGAACATGTGGATAAGTGTGCTGAGGGAGGTCAGAAGCTGTCTCTGCACTTATTTGCGGAAAACTCAGAATTACTATTAGTACCTTAATTAGATATTTATTGCAAATTAATTTAACCGAATGGGTTATGGTGTGATTAACAGCATTAAAAAGTCTTTTTGCGTTTTTTACCCGATTTCATAGCGGCTCAGAATTTGTTTTACCACAGCGGCTATTCCAATTGGTAATTTCTAAGAGCATTAAATTGCTGGTATGCAATATCTGCAATGCAAACTTAAAATAGGTAACAGGTTTTTCACGCTTTTCTTAAAAATGTGCATCCTGTGTTCAGGCTGATATTTTTAAAACGCTTTAATATCATTACACTCGTTTTGACTTTTTGAACGATTTGATCACTGCTACAGTGGACGGATAGTTATATGTTAGTGGTATTAATATCTATTAGTTATGTTTAAGGAAACACAGTAAGTATAAACTTTATTACGCAATTTATTTGTATGTAAAAATTGAATTTAAAAAACCTTAATAAGCAGTAACTGCATGTCATCGATCGAAATTAGGCATTTGTAGAAAATTAATAGGGTAAATGTGTACAAGAGTGCGCATATGTATAAGAGTACGCACTGATGATTTCTGCTTATTAGTGCCATCTGGGTAAGATGAAGTTATACCATTCAGAATTTAATGCTAAACCTGAGATAAAGGTGCAAAAGTGACCTGAATATAGTTTATCGTTTGGTCGTACTGACGATTTGATGTTCACACGTTGTGTGGATGTAATTTTTACCGCTCATAGTCTTAGTTTTTTGTAAGGTACGTACCAGTTCTTTTATTTTACAGTAATAATTTTCATTACCTGTAACTTTTAAGGTCTCGTTATACACTAACAGTTTTATACTTTCCATCCATCAAAAGCTTTTAACTTTGAAAACATTAGGTTATGTACAAATGTACAAGAGTGCGCAGCGAGGTATTGTATAAGAGTGCGCATTGCTTGCAATACGTAGTCTAATAGTCTTGGAGATACATATCATACGATAATGAATTATTTAACTCTACTACTTTGTACTGCTTCTCAAGTTGTGTGGTGGTGGTTATGGTGACTTTTTTTTATTTTTACTTCCTGAGCATGTTGTAATCGAGTCCGTCGACCGACTCTTTATTTTTACGTTTCCTCGTCTTTTCAAGACCCCTAGAGTACGAAGAAATAGGTCTCCCGTTTTATGTGTAGTCTGTAGTCACTTATTCCCATTTATTTTCACCTTAGAAACAAATATTTTTTCATAAAATGTAATGCGCACTCATAAGCGTTCAAATGCGCACTCTTGTGCAATGAACTGTCTAAGAGTGCGCATTTACACATCTTGACAAAAATTGAAATTACTCTTAAAATATAGTGGTGTTGGGACGTACAATTAAATATATCGGATCTCTAAACATGTATATAACGAACCTATATCATAAAATTGGTCTATCCAAAAAAATTAAAAAGTTGTTGACAATTTTACACTAAGTGCGTACTCTTGTACACATTTACCCTACCTAAGTTTTTTTGTGTACTACCTGCCAAAGCGTAATTTTTTTGGTGCTAGACGAATTTTGCTGGAATGACCCATTTTCTAACTCACCACATCGATTAGCTGGGATAGTTTGAGACCCATTTTGACGGTGAGTCGATCTGAGTTGTTGCCGACAGGTCTGATGAGGCGGTTGTAGTTTGATAGAAGATCATCGTAGAGACGTTTTGCGTCTTGGTTGCCAACAACAACAGGGCTGAAAGCTCCTAGTATCAACCATGAAAGGGCGAGCAACAGCTCCATCATACCTCCCTGGAATGAAATTAACCCAATTATTGCTTCACTCTGTCAGCTGGTCAACTTTATAATTATAGCGCACTGCACCACTAATAATTTATCATCAGAAATGTCAGTGAAAGGGTGACTCCAAGGTAATAATTAATTAAGGGCCGTCTAGAAATTTACGGCCTTCTAACAACTGTCATAACTTTATTATGGATGAATTACGTCGCTAATTTGTCTAGGCGAACAATATTGAGATACAGAGTCGTTATTTCGCAATATCTGCTTCTGGTGTAGAATTTGGATTATCATGGAAAAATAAGTAACCGATACAAAATTACCTGGTTAGTACAGAGATGTAAGAAACCATATTTTCAAGTAAAATAGTGTTTTATATTACAACTGAGAGAAATGCTAGATATATTATTAGCGAGTAAGAATGTAGTCGCGTTAGAGCTAGTGATACTGCTCTCACGAGCTTGTAATGGTATTTCGCTCACATATGATATACGGTGTTTTATCTTACAGTAGCAGCTTTTACATTAAAGTAAGAGTAAGATAAATCCAAATTGACAGCTCATTTAATCTAAAAAGTCACATTACATAACTGGTCAGCACTTTACTTCACTTGTTAATATGTTGAATTAAATTATTAAAATGAATACAGCATAACACTAGCACAAATTAAAGATAACTTCACTTTATGCAGCAACTTCGCGCATAGATAAACTGACCATTTTTTTTTAAGTCAAAACGGGACGTCCATACATACTACTAATAAAATAAATCTAATATAGAATATAGATATACCATACATACATAACATAACATACCCCAGTGGGAAGGTTAACAATAAAAATAAACAGAACTTTTTAATCTTCTTTCTTTATTTTATGTTCACAAAAATTAAAAATATTTTTAGTATTATAAGTAGTTATGAAAAATAAGAAGCAATCACCAGCTTCATTAAAGTAAAGCACCATTTATGTGACAGTAATTATTAAATTGCAACATAATATTATATTTTTAGTTGTATTTATATTTCTCGGAGGAACAAATTTGCTTTAATATTGATGGTGATGCGCGGTTTTAGAAAACGGAACAATTTTGCGTTCCAGATCATTATATGGGGACAACGGGACAGGTGGTCCAATAAACGGACAGTCCCGTTCAAAACGGGACGTCTGGTCACTTTACGCATAGAGTAAAAGACTTATTAGAAGATACCAGTGGCGGCTCGTGAAGTTTTCTTCCGAGGAGGCTCAAATTTGAAAAGCACTACTTTTTATATCTTTCATTATCTGAATATTTTTTTTTTGTCATGCCCACGAAAAGAACACTCCTGCGTTGATAGATAAACTATTGTATCGATTAGTCTTTTCAAAATTGCCCTATTTTTACCAACTTTCTCGTTATAGTTTTCAATATTCCTCTTATGAGCGGAATCTAAAGTAGTAGAAGAAAATATGTGTTCCTGTGATTTTTCATCCCTTTCTATTGCTCGTGACAAATTTTGTAAATTATTATAGCCTGTTTTATCCCAAACGGAAGATTTATCACTTGTGAATAATACACAATTCCATCAGTATAATTTGTTTCTTAAAAAACTGAAGCCGTTAACCATTTAGTTTTAGTATAATTATTTTCATGAAATGCTCTGTTTTGCTTTCTACCTGTCATTGTCATTAATGGGAGTGGTGGTGTTGGTCTCCCCTTTTGTTTTATAGCGATCTTTTTATCACAATCAAAGCTACTAAATTCATTTTTTAATATATAATTTACGTATCTGCACATGAGACTGAATTATTTTCGTTGCTCATTCTCGTTAATTATGAGTAATATTAATATGCCGATAATACCAGCTGTTTTTAACGATCAGAAATAAAACGCAAATAAATGATACAAAAAACACCTTAGGCTTTACGTAGGTACTAAAGCCTAAACACCACTCACCACTGAATAGGGAGCACGCGAAACCACCTCAATATTTTTCCAATTTACACCCGATCGCGCCAATTAATAAGAAAGAGATAAAATTATCCGTGCGACTTGATCTGAAAAGAGATGAACTAGCCGGAGGCTAGCGGCCTGAAGCGGCACCCCGATCGACGTTTTAGCCAATGCAGTACCGAATGACGATGCGTCAAGGTTGCGGTCTCAATACTAAGATGAATTCTCGGCGGAGGCTAGCTTCTACCTCTGAAGCCAAACGCGGAGTGGTGTGAATTATGATTGTAAGGGCGCAAATATAATTTTTTTCGACATTTTAACCTGATATCTGATGAAAGTAAATTAAATCAAACAAAATATTCTGAAAAGTAACAAATGTCTACAAAAATACAAATTCTTTCATCGAAAAAATTAGAGGAAGCTCAGCTCCAAAAAACAGAGGAGGCTCAGCCTCCCCTGCCTCCTCTGAGGAGCCGCTACTGGAAGATACCCAACATCTTAGCAAATTCAGTTTGTTAATATGATAAATTATTCTGCAGAAATTTAACTAGTACAAATAAATTCAGTTATACACATATCTCTGGTTATACCACTGAGTTTCCAAGTTCATAGGAGGTAACAGCCTTCTGGTCAAAACTTTGATCTTGTGAATTTCAATTTAATCAGCCTTCTAAATGGATTTCTCACAACCGAGAATCGCTCCAAATTAAAGTGACACCAATAAATAATCAAATAAAAATCAGTATATTAATGAATGACATGGCTAAAACATAAAACTGAAAATCGCCAGGAGAATTTCATTTACTAAAACACCAATAATTAATTGCTCCTAAACGTATCCATATTTTTATCTCATAGTATAACATATTTAAAGACAAAGACCAACGAAACCATGAAAAAATTCATCAAAATTTGTTTGTCAATGATTTGTAAAATACTAATCTTATCCATAACGGAGAAAATCAGTACTGTTCTAACTACGACACATTAATGACGAAGAAAAGGGATGTGTTAAACGTTGTGAAGCACGATTCCGTCAGCTTTGAACAAGGAAGAAAAGAATTTGGAAACGTATATTTTTCGTTTATCGATTATAAAAACCACAAGCTCCACATTCTCGGTTGCGCAAAATGATTGAAATATACATGACTGATTACAAAATATGTTCTTTTCAATAGAATTTTACAAGACAACTTTTCAAATTACCTTGAATGATCAAACAATTAAATCAGATCCAGTAACAACGAGAAGTCCACTAGGATTTTGCTTGACAATAAACCTTTTCTCTGAAATCCTCAATAGCTGCAACTATGGTTTCAGCATAGAATTGACAACAAAACAGAAAAAATATTAAATCATTTGCTGTTGTATACATAAGGTTGATCAAAAATATTTCCAGGTACAAAAATTTCGTTTACGTTTACGTTAACAATGAAGATCTTTGTTATCGACAGCAATAAGTTTGGCTGTTGAATTTTTTCATGTTGAAGTGAGCTAATGAAGCTCAACGATGCGTACTGAGCTAATAAAGCTCAACGATGCGTACTGAGCTTCACGCAGCCATTTTCTTCTGGATGCACCTCGACGACACGTCCTCTCCTCCAAGTTAGCGGCGGTGTGATATCCTTTAGGAGGACCAAAGCGTCTAGACTCAGTAGCGAAGCTTCACCCGTTGCTATTTTGACTTGTCCTGTAGTTGACAGAGGTACTCCTTAGACTTTCTCTGCCAGAAGTGTTGTTGGATCTGCGTAACACGCTATCAACTAGACAACCGATTAATGTTGATGTGGCCATACTGCGGCTCTGTCATAACTATTATGGGGCTTCTACTTGGAACGCCCAGGTGTGAGGAGCTCTAAATCGTTGGGGTCATCACTTAGTGGACATAAGGGTTACGAATTTAAGCATGCTTCTATACCTGCTAATACGGTGTACATTTCCTCAAATGTCAGATGCGCGTTGTCTATTATGCGGTTTAAGTGAAATTTGGTAGATTTTACGCCGGCCTCCCATAATCCGTCAAAATGAGGTGTCTTAGCCAGTATAAAGTGCCAATTGATATTTTTTATACTTAAATACAACGTGACAATTTTTCCCCAAATTCCTGCGATTCAAACATTGCTGATAGCTCCCGATTCGCTCCCACAAAACATTATCTGATTTTTTTTGGCATGGCGCGTTTCTCTATAAATCGTTTTAATCAGCTTTAGGTGTATTACCTTTGTGGCGAAACGTAAAAAAAGAGTAATGTGCGCTTTTACGAGCCTTCTATTTTTGGCCTTACCATCTTTAATTAGGATAAGGCATAATCAATTCCAGTGTTGTGGAATATTTTGCCTGATTTTAGTCGAGCTTCAGGTAAATTACTCATTACTGGATTTACTCCGATCGGATTCATTCTGGCCTACCTTCCAATGGTCAAAATCTCGAGCGTACTGAGGCCAAGGTAGTTAATGAACTGGCATCTCGTTTTCATGAAAAATAATCAATTTTTGTTGCATTATGATTAAGCAGTAAGACACTGTTCATATGCAATCTCTGCCCTTCTTAAACGTTCATCTACTCTAACTAAACCTTCACTGTCCCGAAACGAATTTTACGCCTTTAATCTACTTTTATTACTAACAAAGCCATTCCTCTGAAGAATCGAAATTTCTTCCGTAAATTTGACCTCTGCAAACTGTTTACAATCGCGCATGGGTTGTTCTAGTTAAGTCAATGGCCAAAAGGGTGTCCGTAATTTTAATCCCCGGATGTCCAGAATGATGTACAAATTTAAAAAGGATGATTCCAACACGAGTGAAGTGAGTTCACTCGAGTGTAATAATAGCCCATTACATGCGAGTAAAAATACTATTTTATCTACGACTTAATAAAAAAATTGCAGTTAAAAATTTATTTTTTATTTTCCAAAATTGATTGTAGCGTTAGAGTCAGTAATACTGAAGCAATATTAACATTACTATTCAATTTTAAATTTGAAAGATTTGATATTCCGGCTTCGGAATTAGGTCTTGATTCTTCCGATTGCGATTTTTTTTATTACCTGAAGAACAATCTGGTTTTAATTGATGTTAGAA